GATTAAAAACAAAAGTAGAGCACATTGGATGTACAACATACATATCATAAGGGCATGGTAATTGGTGAGGAAGTAAAAATATTTCTATTTCAATTTTCGTTACAAACAAATTCAGTCATTGAGCACTTGGACACTAGGCACACTGTAGCAAGAGTGTTAGACCTTAAAAACAATCCATGAGCATCGAAAATCACTAAATATATTTAGAAACCATAAAAACAAATAATATTATAATATACTTTTGGTAGATATATAGAGGTAGGTACACCCATGAGGTGTAGGTATACACCATGAAAACGCAATAGGTATACATTAAACGTAAAACATAGACTTGTTATGAAAATTGCCAATACTCAATAGTATTATTATTTAATTATTAATGTGCACAGTAGTTGCCGGTTTATCAAACATCGATAAGGTTAAATATATTAAATATTAATATCAATTATTTATGTGGTTTGCACTTGACAGTTGTCAGTACATAATACGTATACGATATACCTATGTATAATAAACATAGGTACAGTACGTAGACACGTAGTATGTACCTATAAAGGTAGTGTACAAACTATAAACTACAATATTACTATACAGTTGCGGTTAAAATGTTACGTATGAATACCTAAAAAATATAAATATAGTATAGATAGCAACGGGCAACACAGACATAATAAACCTAATTCTACCACATAAAATATAAATTAAATTAATTTTAAATAGTAAGGCGAAGAAAAAAATAAATACTTATTATTGAATGCCATTGAATCGGCAAATAGAATAATTAGTTGTGCAAACACTGCAAATAATAATTATTGCATGTGTATATAAAGACTTAATATACAGCCAAGCGATATGCCAATGGGACAATACAATAAAATAACATATAGAGGTACATACATATTATTATGTAATATCTTAATATGGAATGGTTATATTTTAGTAGATATTATATTTATCTGGATAATGAAATCGCGCTATTATTACTTATGAGGTTTGATCATTTATGAGAAACAAATGATTTTAACTGTCAAAAATCAGAATGCTGATGGATTTATTTATATTTTATAGATGTATAGTAATTGTTACAAGTTTAATTTAATTACAGTTTATGAACCAATTATTATAGTTTCTATTCTTACAAAAATTAAATTTGCTCTACCTACTGATTTAAAATAATTTTTGTCCATACTTTTATAATAATCAACGACAAGAGAGTTGATATAGAAAAAAATATACATTCAACATTGAATATTGATTTATGTATAACTATAGGTACAAGGTCGTAACCAGAAATGTTTTCTGTGGGGAGTCCAAAACATGCATGTATATAAGTATATTGTAATTTTAGTCAATGCAGAATTTAGGTTTTGACATATGTTGGTTAAAAATAAAACAAAAACAGATTATATATTAAATTACAGTATAAAGTATAAAGTATAAAGTATAAAGTAGATGCTGATAATACATTTTTTGTTCTCATTTTAACGAATTTAGTAAGAAAACCATCTGAGTCGTAGTCTATTAGTCTGGTAGACTGTAAATTATTACAATCAATAAAAATATTTTAAATTTTGCAAAAATGTAATCTTGTTCTTGACTGTAGTAGTTGTTAATTGTAGCCGATCATCGACCGCCGACCGGCATCGATACTGGTCGCTGTCACTTGTCTATAAAAATATATATTACGTATAGTATTATTAGACTTTCATATTTTCATATGACTTGGTGTGGCGCAGTACCTATCTGGCTTCCGTCACAAAATGTAACCTGACTGCCAGCACCGACCGGTGCCTCTAGTTCCCGGATGGGTGACCACCCGTGTTCTAGTGACAAATCCTCGCCACATATACACACGTGTTCTTACCAACCGTAACCTCGCATAAAATTAAAAACAACCACTTATGGCTTATGTTGCCGCGAGTTAATTATTATTATATAAAAGTATAAATAGTTTTTAGTGGCCGCACATTTCTAATTCCTAGGGAGTTGTTTTTTTAATAATAATAACACAAAAGTTTTAAAATAATGTTGGAAAAAAGGCAGCAATTTGTTCAGTGCTTACAGATTACTGGTTTTCCAAATATTATCATATAATAATAATATTTAATAAGTAATAACTTCATCTGTTTCAGTTAATATTAATATAGGCCATTTAGGGTTATCATTATTTTAAGTGCAACTATTTTTTTTAAGAAATGAAAATACTTATTATTACATTGGCAAACTAATTACTAAAAATTTAAATATGCCTATTAATTATTATACATTTATACTTCAACGAGTCAAACGTTCTTAAACTATTATACTTACGATTGGGTAGTTGTTACTATAACACTAAAATGAATAATGATTTATAATCTTATTGGCAAGTTTTTAAGTTAAATTTTTAATTCACATTCATATATATATATATGTATATATATATTGCAAGTACCTAGGTATCTACAAGATTATATTATTAATCTAAAATACAAACTCAACAACACGTAAACACGCACCAGTCTTGAAGTCATATTCGAATATTTGTCAGTTTGTCACTAATATTTATATATACCTACATTGTTCATAAAAGAATAACAAAAAATATATTGCATGATTATTATTTTCAATTCATATGATTATTATAAGTACAAGATAGTACAAGATAAATAATTTAAGTTAATCTTGGGTTGTTGCTGTTGAAAAATATCTTCAGATATAAATTTAAATACATGATACATTGATATCTAAGGTACTTTTGATGAATAATTGAGATAATATTATAATGTTGTCACTTGTTCTGTCATTGACAATTTACATTAAGTTTAGGAGCTTAGAGATATATATACCTAAATATTGCATAGTATATGTTATGAATTATACTTATTTATACATATAGATACTGCTGTGCACACCTATAAATTATAATTCAATATAGATAGGTATACCGTATACACTATACAACATACTACATTCATATTACATAGCAAAGATTATAGATTTAGGTCACATATTATAATATCATATATATATATACGTTTGTCGTTTAATAACATTGATTAATAAATACATACCTACTACATAGCATTTATAATAAAATATATATAGCAATATATTTGTTTTGTTTAGTTACAACTTATGAGGCTTAAATGTTGTTATAATATATTACCTAGGTACATACTGCATAGGAGCCAAAGTAAGTGAGTATTATACCAGCAACTCATGGCCGTATCTAGATTTTTTTCTGAGAGGGGAGAGCGGACCCCATGGACTCTCAGATACGGATTTTATGGCTTGATCCAAATACGATCCAGCATGCCGGTTACGGGCAAAATAAGAAATCAGACATTGCTCACAAGGTAAAAGTTCTTATATTTTTCCTCAGGGGCGAGATTTCAATGAAAAATCTGGAAAAATTTTATTATTGTTAAATTTAATTTTTACTTATAGGTAGGTACCAATGTAATCACTATTATACAAATCATCACAATATTAGGTTATTAATTTTGTTCATACATACATATACGATATACATGAACCATTATTATAGCACTATTAACGTTTTCCGGAAAAAGTATTTTACATAATATGTTAGGAATTAACCGAGGAAAATGCCAGGATTTCCTACTTTGCCCAACAATAAATATTATTAAAGCTTTTCTTTCTATCTCCCACTACGTTTTAATATTGTTCTATGATTTTTTCTTTAAATTGTGTTGGTCTTTAAAGTATATCATGGTTCTTTTCTAAAATTGGAACTTGTAAAAATTGTACCACGCCATAGTCCTACCGCCGACCACCTCTTTTAATACATGATTTTTTTTCTTAACTAGAATATCACTCACAATGGTCAGCACTCAATCACATAGGTACGTTTGTAAGGCAAAAACTAATTCAACATCACAAATCGGAATGAGTAGGTACCGAAAAAATTACCAATTAGCGATAAGTGATGACAAAAATGTTCATGGGGAACAGGAAATGAATGAACATATTATCGTCATTTGTTTTTAGTGTTTTTACCAAGCCAGGAGAATAAAAAAAAAAAAAATAAACTTGATTATATTATTATTTTTCTACTAGAAATGTTTAGAGAAAGATAAAATGTTAACATTGTTAACATTAATTATTGAAGTTTGATTCCGGGACAATTTGCCGTCTCGAAACACTGTATTCAAAATTAGTACAGTCCTGGCCAAACATGGACGTATCACCATAGACATACAAATATATTTATACATTATATAATATGTTTGTTCTTTGGTATCACAGATTATATCAATTCTAATTTATATATATATATATTTATGTATAGATGAATAGTCATGGGATATAATTTGAAATTCAAAAAATGCACTAGATCAGTTATTAGTAAATATTGTACATTTGTATATCCGATATTAGTATTTATATGTATTTTATTTTGTGAATTTCTTATTGGTATTGTGTGTATATGACGGCGCTTTAGGTAGGCAATTTAAAGATAACTTTCCTGATTTCAATTTTAAAACAATATAAGTATTACAATACCGTCACAATGGCTTTTTTTTGTCACTATATTTTGGCATATTTCCTAACTCTGGACATAAGCCCAACGAAGCAGAGCTCAGCCTTTTAAATATTGAATATATCAGCTATGAAAAATGTTTTATTCAATGAGGTATAATATTGGATAAAAACAAGTTGGTATGAAGTCTATTTTTCAAATTCTTTGATTTGTTATAACATTTAAGAAGTGTCCAGTATTTTATATTGTAACTGTAAATTTCAGTCAGATAATTAAATATTTGTTTATTGTACATAAACTAATGTCATATAAGTTAACAATTTAATTGCTATATACAATACATTTTGGTCTTACCGTAATTTTTAACAAGCTCTTTAAATACACGTTTATTTAAGATTCTATCTATAATAGTTTTTAAAATAAATTCAAGTTTTAATAATAGGCTAGCATCTACTTTGATCTATTTTAAAACAGTAAAATATCAAATTACTTATTAATAGTATGTAATAATGTGTTCAATATTATATTAGTCTTTATTATATTTTAATTTCCAACCTAAAACTTTAATAATACTGTCTATCTACAGAGTATTACATACTTTAATTATAAATATTTATGTAGGTAGCTTACACACAATTTGACTTAACAAAACATCATTATAATCTATATACACATTTAATATTATGTTGCAAGCTACATTTATTATTATAAACTAGTTATAGTTAAAATAACTAATAAATATTATCAATGAACAGTTCCTACATTTCAATGTTTTTGATAGGTTAGGTACAGGTTAACTCTGTGTAATAAATTTTATAATATAAAGTAACGAGAAATAATGCATTATAACAATTAACAGCTGATTTAATGTTTACTTCAATGTTTTTTTAAGGTTTTTTGTATATTATGTAGATACAAAATGTAAAAAACTTTATTATTTTACCATTACATGTATGACTATTGAGTTTTTTTAACCTGGTAATTATGTTATTATAATTTATAAATTATAACCAAGTGTCATAACACAACAACTCACTAATCATTGAGTTATTTTTGTTTATGAATATTTTTGTATAAAAATTGTAAACATTATAATATAATTAGTACATAGAGTAGTTTGTAGGCACATAAATTAAACTTATTCTAAACAATAAGATTCAACGATATAATATAACTTTTCCTATTGTTCACTTGGGTTAACAATTTGGATACTATGTGGGAATTTATCACAGAAAGAACATTTTGCATTTGAACCATACTAGAATGGTAAAATGGCATAACAAAAACACGAAATTACACATATTAGTAGAACAAGTTAGGTTAACTGACTTTGACATAACAAGTTGTGGCGTTAGCATCGCAACCCTCATACTCATTGATATGCTTCAGTTCAGCTTTACTTAAGGTATCTAGTTGTACACATGCACAGCGCACAGACAATTTTCCATTTTCATCCAATGATTGTAATTTTCGAGGTACTCCAATCCAATTCCTTTTAATGCCACCACTATAAAAAAAAAATCAATGACCAACCTTTTTAATAATCAAAAATAATTAGACAATGTTTATATTTCTATCATACTTACCTCAATGCAGTACACCAGACTTTACTTTTTTGGTTTTCTTGAACATATTCTACATTACAACTTGGATATCGTATCATTTCTTCATTCTTAGCTACTTTAGCCTTTTTACTTGATTCTATTTTTTCAAACACCAATTTTCTGTAGTCAGTTTCTTTACCAGATGAATCATAATAACGTCCGATTAATTTTCCTAAAAAAATATATTGACATAATATACAAATAAATGTACAATAAAATTAAATAAATAGAACACGACTTAGGTGAGCTTAAAAATATAAAATGTAAGTACCAATTTCTTTGTATTTTTTCTTATAAGTATTGATCCACGTATCCAGTCCTATCAAATCATTTGGATCCATATCACTGACGTGATCAGTTAAGTTTTCTTCATCAAATAAGCCAGTTATAAATGAACGACTGGCATCACGACCTAAAAATATTTTGTTACACACAAAAAAGAAGGAATGTTTTATCTTTATATTTGGGTAAAACTAATATAAATAAAATATTTTTTGTATTAAACAAAATATAATGAATAAATTATTAAGACATATTTTTAATAGGGGCTTACTCCTCAAGTACTTACCGGAAAATCCACTATATGAACCACCTGGTCCATAGAATCTCCTACCCTCTGTCACGTCAAATACAAGACCAAGAATAGATAAATATATTTTGCCACCATCAACACCGTTGTACCGACTTAATCGAGTTGTATCGAAAAGAGAACATACTTTAGGCGTGTTGATTAAGAATCGTTCAAAAATCGCAAAGCTACACAGTAAGTTTTGAGCGGGCTCATAGAAAAATAGCATAGATAATATTAATACTACAATTGTTATACATGAGAAAAAAGTATTTTTTAAATTGAAACCCTCCATATTAACTTAAAATGAATATCGTTAGCCGTTATGCGTTTACAATGATTTATTTACAATACGACTGTAATAACTAATAATTAATAATAACTAATAACTAATAAGTAATAATTATTTATAAGTAACAACCATGCTATACACTATAGTACTATACAGTATACAGTTTTAACTTAGGACAGCCACTTTGTGATAACTGATAAGCATGCAGCAAGTAAGCAGCTACTTCCGGCGTGGCAATGATAGTAATTTTGTATCACTCCATATTATCAGCGGTTATCAGTTATAAGTTATAACCATATATATATATAATATATATATATATATATATATATATGTATAATAATATCATTATAATATTCAAATTTTAATTGTAGGGCAGCGTCGTGGATCCTCCAGGAAAGGATTTTTCTCGTGTAAAACAAACCATGAGAGAGACCAATGTGATGTACATTTTAATATAATAAGATAAACGATGCGTGGGCCTGGGGCTGAGTGGAAGCAATTTAATAGCAATCTTCACAGCTCACAAGGTCCCACGGTTCTAAGTACAAGTGACAATTCCATTCGGTTGCCTACCCAGTTGGGTAATTCAGTTGAATTCAAGAGCATCTGTTATAGTTTGCATTGAATTTCTTATCCAGTACGACTTCGGACGCAGCTGGAATAGTGTACGTTGGACTGCCTATCCAGTTCAAATCCAGGAGCAGTTCAAATTTATTGATTGAGTGGAACTCAACAGGTTCTTTAAACAAATATTTCGTTTCGTGTACAGATCATTTATCTTAGATTGTTTTGTTGTATATTTTTTAGGGAATGCAAAACTTACATAGGAGATTTTACACAAATGTCTGATATTGAAAGTTGAATTATAAAAGAAAATTAAATGTACATTAATATTCATATTTTTGATGAATTCGTCCGATATATCGATGATTTAATATTGTTTGAGGTCGGGTGTATACAATAATAATAATATGTGCATGTGTGTATGTGTTAACTGTTAATGCATATAGTTCGATCAGCAATGATCGGGTATGGCGGGCAAAATATATTGATTGAGTGCGTGTAATTTGGTGTGATTACGTGCTTTCAGTATTTGTGTATGCTTATACTAATACAAATAAATGAAACAAAGTTTTTGGTAATAATAGTTCGTCTGATAAGCGCTAGCTTTCTATTCGCATCGCTTTGCTATAAATAAATTAAATGTGTTTTGAAAATAAAGATCATCAGACAAAATGATAAACACATATTTTATGGAAAAGATTAACTTAAGTTCATGATTCTCAATCTCAATAGAATAATAATTATATACATAAATGGTCTGTTACGTCTAGTAAACGATATTTGAGCAAATTTGTCAACATACACACCCGAGTAAAATATTTTACTTAAGTCAGAAAGTGATAGGTATAATTGCCATCTTTTCGTTCTTTTTTTCCGCCGTATCAAACAAATTGGTAATACTAAGTTGATTTGTGGGTTTTACAGACTCGCTGCTCTTTTATAATAACTATATAAAACATATAAGATAAAGTTTCGATTACGAGCTTCATTTAGTGACTGGTCTACAATTTCTTAAATAAATTGAAACAGACTTAAAGATAGGTATTACAAAACTATATTTCCACAGGTGAGGAACAATACCATGAACAAGAGCCAAAGAACATACTAAATAAAGCAGGACAAGTAAGAGCATAACAACATTCAGATAAAACATAGGATGAATAGTTTAGCCGGTCTCTATAAGTACTACTAGGCTCATACTTGTTCAAAATCCTCATATCAGGTTCTAAAGGCTATGAACTAAGATCTACATTTAAAGATTTTGGTAACATTTTAGGAGACGAGTGGGCACTAAAAGATTGAGAATCAGAGTATACACAATACACTATACGCCAAAAAAAAATAATTTGTAAATCCATCAAATTTTGGAAATTACGATAAAACCACCTAGAAATTATACATTTTGATACTTTATAGTTTATATACCTATACACGTAAGTACATACATCATTCTAAATAACAATTTTTTTTAATTTTTTTATTCGCTCATGTACCTTATGAGATAAAGTATAATATTCTTATAATATCCAAAGTACTTGAAATCGAAATTCTTGACTATGAACTAAGGTTGGGTTATATCGTTATATTGTGTAAATGAAGACACAGCTTTTACTTTTCTTTATGGATATGTCTCATGAAATATAGATGAGAAGAGTTTCTGAGAATACAATTTTTTTTTATCGATGTGTTAAGTATAATAACTATTTTTTGATATTTTCGTCACTAGCACTAAATTATACTACTATAATCATAGTCTTTCAAGTTTTGCATTGTTACCCTAATGGGTTACTAGATGAGCCAGTAAATTATTTTTTTGAATAAGCATGGATAAAAGGCTAGTAAATTGTAACAGTTTCATATTTTTCTATAATATTACGCTCTTTGTTTAAAGCTAGTGATGCATTATAATTATACAATGTCAAGTTTAAAAACGAAAATAAATACATATTTTGTCAAGTTTAGAAAAAAAGTAAAGATTTCTTCATTTCTGTGCAGAATGTGCACATTTAATGTTTTCTAAAATATTGTTATTTTATTTTATGACATATATAATTTCAGTATACTTCTAAAATATTGAAAAAATATTTTTATATTTTATTTAAGGATACTGAACACGCTGACACTTTCCAAGTCAAGCTGGTCGAGCACAAATCAGTGGGATTATTATAGGTTCGTATAAAATCTGGTCTCCAACGCCAGATCGTGTGCGATGTGTGAATAGTTTAGGCTTCTCGGGCATATAGTAAAAATAATAAATATATAATATAATATATATTCTTTACACAATAGTCTTGTGTTCTAACTCCCGCTTCACTCATTATGCAATTTCCCATAATTGATTGGTCATTCAATACAAAACTTTTTCAAGTAAACGACAAAACACAAAATGGAAAACATGCAAATTATTAATATGCTAATATGGTATTATACATTGTGCAATAGGTATGGTCTGTATAGAGTTTGTAAACTGCATTTAATCCCCCCTTCATTTAAGCAGCTGCGTTGAGCAAAACCCTGCGATAATAATCATCTCCTTTTGTATAATATATCTATAGTTATTGTACAATGCCAGTGTATAGTCTCCAGGGCTATTACTACAGTATACTGATTTATCCATATTCTAATTTTATATAAATATTGTATAATTATACAGTGTGATTCGCTCAGCATGATCGCATTTTTTCATTTCATTTTTTTCATTTTATAAAGAATTAATTTAAATACTGATTTTTGGAATTTTTATATAGACTTAAGTTCCATATTTTCATATCTTAGATTTTTGTATTCTGTGGTGAAACAAATTTCTATTTTTCCAATGAGAAATATTTTGACTCTTTTTGATCTATTTATATACACTTGAAATTCTAAATTGTGGTTTGTTTTGTTTACTGTAAATTCCAATTTATTATAATTTTTAACTTGGTAAAATAGTTTGAAAAACGAATTTAAGGCTCTTTATAAGTTGATAATATCAGTTTAAAAATATTAAAAATATAAAGGTAAGATTTTTTTTTAGCATTAATAAATATGATGGTTTTTCATAAGACAGTATTTTATACTGTAACTAAAAATACTAAAAAATATAAGATCGTAGTTAAGTTCAAATTTAGACAAACTTAGATATTTCAACAAAGAATAACAGTTTTAATTATTTTGTTATAATTTAAAAATATTCTTCGTGGGCACTTGAAACTTTTATAGTAGAAACATACGTATATTATTATATTTTATACACACAATGACATTTTCAAATGTAATGATTTTGCAAAAGTCAATTCAATCAACCGTATTACTATTTAATATCAGTAAAAACATTACTTTAAGAGAAATGATATTAGAAAATATACTTAGGAATATGGGCAACCGTATTAATTTAGAATCGTTTTTCGTATACAATGATTTTACATCTTTGAATTCAAATTTGACATCCATTACAGTGACCTATTATTATTCGACACCTACTCAGGTGCGTTCCTGGATAGTTTTTAAGGGGGGAGGGAGATCAACTATAAATAACAATTTTGATCATTATTATTTTGTCGACAATGAGAGTAATTTTATACATTCAAAATTGTTATGGGGGTGAATGCTCCTGCACCTTTTAAACAGCAGAGTGATACCCACTTGCCCACCTTTTTTAGTTTTGGTTTCACCTTTGCTTTCTTCGGATAATCATCTACATTCATTTTTGATACCCCGCCAATAATTTATTGATTTCCTAAAGAGCCCCTTCAAAAATATAATCCGATGATTTTTGAATATAGGTAATACAAAGTATTATAAAGTAGGACTTAAGCAGATAGTTTAACCTTTATAATATTGATCTATGTGATCAGTAGGCAAGACGTTAAAAGTTTAATCATCCCAAAAATATTTACCGGGATACAAAGTTTACTCGATATTTTATTACATATTTTAATATGTTCACATCTGTTTCATAAGACTGATGAGTAGTAGAATCTTGAATTAATTTCGCTGCATGCCTTACTATAATAGCTATTTGCAGTCTTACGGAGACGGCGATTAACGGTAACGAGAATAATTTATTCAAATGGATATTTTCTTTTCCGTTCGCACGTGTATGAGTGCGGTGCATACATGAAATAACGCAAAGCTATAATAATGCTAATGTGTACTATTATTATTACACTTTATAATAGCTGCATTCATGTGTTCTCCCTCCCCCACGGCATTTATTATAATACAGTTCGCGATATGAGTACAGCAGAGTTTAAATAAGCGGTGTTCGATCGTAAACATAATAATAAATAAGATTTTGAACGTGGCACATCAAAATGGTCAACAGAATAATAATAATATCTATTCCGTACAGCTATAAGGTGCCCGTGTACAATGTTAATAAAGTTAGAAATTAAAATATTTCCGTTCTCTATTTATAACACTCATTTATTATAACCAGTTTCTACGGCTCAATGACTTACAAGTTATAAGTTTTAATATTATTATATTTCAGCCAATTTTCAGATATATTATATAGGTATACGGTCGTTAAATATATTTTTTTTGCCAAACCGAATCGCTTCCACGTACACTAACGTTGTGATAATATTGTAGCTATAT